TTGTTTGTTTGTTTTGCCATAGGGCATATATGCTTGCTGGAGAGACAGAGAGACAAAAAGCAAGAAATCACACACACACACACACACACACACACATACAAGGGAGATGGTCACAACGCAATCCCTTCTCCATTCTCCTCTTGGGATTTTGGACTTGCATGCACACACACCCAGCATCTTTTTTTTTTTTTTTTTTTTTTTTTTTTTTTTAATGCTATATCACCTTTACTTAAGTAGGAAGACCACTACATAAAAACACAAAATCTAGAGACCATTTCACCCACTGCTGTTTGGCCGCCAGTCTCTTGTCTCTCTCTTCAGCAATGGTGAGGCAGATACCCTTTCCCCGGGGAAGAGAAATCCATGGCTTGTTGCCTTTGCCAATAACAAAAATGTTGGAGAGGAGTGGCAAAGCTGTTGCCACTGGCATCTTTCACAGGACCCACATCGAAAGAGCCAGGATGTCTCTCTCTGCTGGTGATCGCACCAACTCTTCCCAAGTTAGCACCTCCAGTCACCAGACACAGGTTACCAGTGTCGAACTTGATGGACTCAGTAATCTTGCCCGTCTTCAAATCAATCTGAATGTGTCGTTCACCTTGATGAGAGGGTCTGGGTAGCGGGTGGTATGAGCAACATGGGTCACCAGGTGAGGGGTTCCCTTTGTGCCCTCAAAGATTTTCCTCACTTTGCACAACTTGTACTTGGCCTCCTCAGGTGTAACACGATGGACGGTGAAATGACCCTTGGTGTCATAGATCAGACGGAAATTCTCTCTGGTCTTGTCAATGCTGGTGACACCCATAAAACCAACAGGGTAGGTTATGTCAGTACGGACTTTGCCAGCAACCTTAATGAACCGCTGCGTGCAGACCTTCTTTACTTCATCTCCTGCCAAAGCATACTTAAGTCTGTTCCTGAGGAAAATGATGAGCGGAAGACATCCCTTCAGCTTGTGGGGACCAGCGGATGGACCAGGGGCAAACACACTGGTCAATTTATCCAGCATCTAGTGCTTTGGAGCTGCTACCCGCTACAGATGCTTCTCAGGGCCATGAGCCACGGCTGCGCTAGGAACGGAAAGAATTTTCTTTCTTTGTTTATTTTAAGAAAGATTTTTGCTGTAGGACGCACGAGCTTGTCAGAGAGACAGAGTCGGAGAGACAAAAAGTGAGAAATCACCCCTGGGGGGGATGGCCATGCCGCAATCCCTTCTCCTCCATTCTCCTCTTGGGATTCTAGGAATGCACTTACACGTGCCTGGTGTGTTTTAAGCCGCTGGGTCTGGGACTCAAACAGCAGTCGACTATGTGAGTCCAGTGACATAACCATTACTTCAACTACTGGTCCACCTACCTGACTATTCTGACAGTTTATTTTGCTAGACCCCTGTGACTAGTTCCCCATGAGGTTTATATACATTTCTCAGTTTCTATATCTAGCTCATTCTATCATGTTTTACTATACTCTTTTCCTGTCTGCCTTCCATGGCTCCTTTGTTATTTTTCTCAGAGGGATACCTGGTTCAACTTTCAATGAAAGAATTACTTATGGAACATCTGTGGGCCAGTCATGATGCTAGATTTTTATGCCGTAACAGTCCAGTCTCTTGGGAGAAAATAAAATTTCCCTTCTTACTCACAATCAGCTCTGTAGCCCTGCTTCATTTGTTATAATAGCACAAACACTTTTGCCTGAAGGACATTCCACATTCAAGTACATTCTGAGACATTCACCATGGTCTCCAATGTAACAACAGTAGGACTGCAGAGCACCCTGTATCCCAGAATGTTCAGGAAATATTACTATACTCAAGCACTCATATAGTAAAAGAACTAAAGAGCAGGTGTAGTGAATTTATAACCAACACTTTTTGACAGAAAACTATTGAGATGCCGACATGAGAGTATGTCAGGAAGTTGACAGTAAATCTAAAGGTGACTATTCTTTCATCAGAGACCTAACAAATCTCTGAAGACTACTTCTTGGAACTTTTAAAATTTAATTTAATTTATTATTCTTATCTTAATTTGCTATAGGGCACGTGTGCTCACCAGAGAGAGAGGGGGAGAGAGAGGTGAGAAAGCAAGTTGCCAGGCGGCGGGCGGAGTAGGCCCTGCGCCGGCCCACCCGGGCCCAGCTGCGGGTCCCCCGCCACCCCCGGGGACCCCGCGCCTAGCGAGCGAGGCGGCGGCGGGGCGAGGAGGG